ATATTATGAGTTATGACTAATAAAATTTAATTTTTCATGTCTTAAAAATTATTGTTTTCCGTAATGCTCATTTTCCTATTGAATACTTGGTAGGTGTTTATAATTTTTTTTCATTTACGACCAATGGCCATCATATCATGTAGGTCATGTGATTAAAAGTAATGAGTATTGGGAACTAGGAAGTTGAAATTCTCTGCAGATACCCATGTACAGACATAAGACGTATTATAATATATAGGTAAGATAGACAGGTGACAGCTTATATATTATTATTATACATTTATACCATTTATGATTATTATTATTAGTATTATTGCTATCGGCGCGTACTATAATTGGTAGTTGTCTAGAATAAGGTTATTGTGGTAACGTATAGACCGTATAGTAGTAGATTCCTACCTATATCTAATCCTAATATAGCTTATATCTTGTGTTTATAAGGTTAAGGTCTAAACGAGTACCTACAATAGTGCAATCTTTATAGGTCTAGGTTTTCATTTCTTTTCTTATGAGTTATGATTTCATATCCGTCATACTCGACAGACAACTGAAAAAACAGTTCAGATGATAAAAAAAAAAAATCAAAATCAAAACGCTGACCTATAATATTTATAAGAAATGGCRTGAATATTATGGATTATATTATAATACTATAATGGCATTATATAGTTATATACAATTAATAACTATATTATACAAAGACAATTATAGACAATAATGTTGAGACTAGCAGCTGGAGACCGTGTCCGAGCTCGCCTGCCGCCACTGACCTACATCGGTTTTCCGTCGCTGCACGTGGCATCACTGTGCAACTGTTGCTACCGCCCAGCGGCCGTTTTATTTTGCGTGTTGGTAATCGCCTCGCACACATGCGTCGCGTGTTAACTTCTCGCAGCGTTTACGTTCCCTGGTTCCCGTGTGGCGTGTTCAACACTACTACAATAGTCGTCAGTCGTCACTCGGCAGTCGTTATTCGTCAGTCTTGTGTGTTGTGCGCTTAGTCGTTACTGTTTCTTGTGTCGTCCGAGAACAGTTTTTATTTTTATTTAAACATTTTTCGACGTATCAAATCCCGGCGTGTTATCAATTTTCCACTAGTTCCCTCGCCATTTATACGCGACAATATCAAAAATCGGAGGTGTTGGTGCGACTAACAAGTACGGTCCACGACGATATCAGCAATATATTTCAGCCACACATTTCGCATTTACGCCCAAATATCGATTTCCAGTTGGCTGGGAAACCGACATAAAATTTAAGCTAAATTTCTGATACAGGTCAGTGCTATGTTTCGTTATAATTCGTCAGAATTATTGCATTCTAATTACCTATCTATTGCGATTACTTATATCCCAGATCGTTTTGGGTGTATCTACCATCAGTAGAATAAAAAAACGTTTAGGTAGTGGTGGGTGGGCAGGTAAGTTAGGTGTTCACAATACAGTATTATGTAATTATTCTGTAATTATTTTGTAATTTGTGTCAATTTATTTAAACACTATTACAACATAATGTAAGTAGAGGGGCAGGCGCGCCTATGTTAGAGCAAAGAATAGATTACCTTTTGTCTTAATCATAATAATGTTTGTTTTATACCTAAATTGTTTTTTTTATTGATTTTTATTTTCTTAATATCAGAAAGTATTTTGTATTTTAAAAACATACCGTTTTCTATATATACAAACCACAAATATATATTTTGAGCTTATATAATTATATATATATAT